GTGTGTGTGCCCCCACAGGCCCCCTGCCCTCTGTCCTAGGAGAGTGTGTGTGCCCCCACAGGCCCCCTGCCCTCTGTCCTAGGAGAGTGTGTGTGTGCCCCCACATGCCCCGTCTGTTGTCCTGGGAGAGTGTGTGTGCCCCCACATGCCCCGTCTGTTGTCCTGGGAGAGTGTGTGTGCCCCCACATGCCCCGTCTGTTGTCCTGGGAGAGTGTGCATACACCCCCACAGGGCCCCTGCCCGCTATCCTGGGAGAGTGTGTTTGTGCCCCTACGGGCCCCCTGCCTGCTGGCCAGCCACCCCTATCTGCATGTGACCTTGGGGAACTGCTCGCCCTCTCTGGCCCCGGCTTCTGTGTTTGCGCAGGACGTGTAGGGAGCAGATGTTCTCAGGGCCACGGCCTGTACTCCAGCCTCCCCACCCACAGAGCCTTCTAGAACCCCACCAGCCTGGGGCTTTCCACCCCTTCACTCCCCTCCCCTCACTCCTTTTTCTCTCCTCTTTTTGTGACTTTTATCAAAGGCAAACAACACGATCCCTGAGATAGGGCCACTCCTAGCCATGGCCCAGCTGGCCTGTGGGAGCCACGGGCAGCCTAAGCAGAGTGATAGGCAATTAGATAAGTGGGTGCTGGTGTGGCCACAACCCATCATGGGTGGGGGCTGGGTGCTATACTGGGTCCTATACTCAGGAGGCCACTGGCCATTAGCACAGACCAGGCTAGCCCCTTAAAGAGAGGCAGGACAGTGGAAACCCCCTAGTTCTCTGATATTTCTGCAAACCCATAGGGCACCCTCTTAACTGCTTCCCCAAGTCAGAACTGTGAGCCAGCCTCCTTGAGCTACTGCTCAGGGGGGGAAACTGAGGCCAGGGTGGCTGAACCCAGGGGCCCAGGAGGCAGATGGCCCTGGTTGGAGCCCTGGACCCTCTGTCTGAGAGAAGCACAGAGCTATTCAGTCCCTGCTGTGTGGCCCCCAGAAAGTTGCTTGAGTTCTCTGAGCCTATAGGGCAGGCTGTGGGGAGACACCATGCTGGGCATATCTGTGTTGAGGGGACCACCAAGGGCCCCCAGGGTCAAAGGGCAAAGGCGGCTCCTCAACCCACCTGGGTAACCGAGAGAGAACAGGGCTGGCCACACCAGCAGACACATCCCTGAGACTTCTGGCCACAGGCCTACAGTGGGGGTCACGCTAGCACCTCTTCTGCAGATGAGGCTAACTAAAGACAGCACACACCTGGCCATCAGCAAGAGGGTGAGGCAGTGTTGGCCCAGCTGCTGATTCCAGAGCCCACTCTCCCACCCAATGCCCCATAAGACCCTGGACTCTGGCTAGATCAACCTGGCCACTCCTTACTCAGGCTCTAGGCTCTGCAGGGTAGGTGGTAGCCTGGCCCTGGGTCAGCAGTGCCCAGCCCTGGCTCCTTTTTCTGTCTCCTCCCCACCCTGTCATCCCCACAGGGTATTGTCAGAGGCTGTTGGACCCACAGAGGCATTTAAATCATAAATATGCAATGGCTGAAATTTTTCATTTGGTTCTTTGCAGATGTTGGGGGTGAAATTGAATACTAGCGCGGAGTGTTTGTTCTGGAAATGGCATGTGCCGGGTTGTTTGTCAGAATAAATTAGTCCTTATCCTAGTGCTGGGCCTGTAGAGATGGCCACGGTCCCCATGGAAGGGTCCACCCCTATGGCATGGAGCCTGTCTTGTCTGCAGAAAGGGACACTGAGGCAGGACAAGGAGAGGCAGCCACAGGACTCACTGGCTGTGCCCCCCACCTCAGGTGCTGCGGTCCTGACCGAGTGGCTCAGGGCCCTGGCTGAAACCCCACCTGCCTACTCTATGTACCCATGAGGGGCCTGCAGAGTGTACAGGCTAGGGTCCTATATTCAGGGGCCTGGACTTATGTTAGAATTTTGAGCCCTTGGGGACAGGGGACATTGTACCCCTTCTCCAGGTGAGGGGACTCTTGGGCAGGACCTGGCTGTCCCTGGCCCCTCTCTGTGCTGGGCTCACCCAGATGTTCTGGAGCTGGGGTAGGAAGCAGAGCGACTGGTCACTACAGGCCACCAGGATAGGACACCTCCCCCTGGAAGCCCACCGTGGCCACACAGCCCCAGCAGAAGAGGTCTTGTGCCTGGGGGGAAAGGTGGGTGTCTGGCCACAGACGGTTCCCCAGTTGCCCAGGGCAGAGGCTATGTCTCCCTCTCACTGCCTCAGGTGTGCCCAGGGGGTGACTGCACAACCACAGCCAGGAGTCCAGAGACCAGGGCCAGGTCAGGGTCTGGCCCTGCCTTCATCTGAGCTCCTGGCGGGCTTTGGTGCTCCTCAGCCTCCCCAGGGCCTGCGTTCCTCCCTAGTGTGGTTGGGAGACCATCTCCACAGCCACCACTGTCTGCATCCTCTGGCTATTGCAGAGGCCATTTTAGAAACAACTGTGCCACCTTCCGCCCATGACTTTGCCTGCTGTCCCCGTCTCAGGAGCCCGTGTCCTCCAGGCCCCTTGGCCCTCACGATGGTTCATCTCACAGATGCCTCCGTTCATCCTCAGACCTGAACTGGGTCTGCCAGGAGCAGTGGCCTCACCCACCCCCACTTTTCTGGTACAGTTTCACTTCCAGTCTCTGGAGGTGCCAACTGGGCTTTAACCACGCTTGAGCCTGTTCTGGCCATGTGAGGGTTGGACAGGAAGTAAGTTCTGCAAGCAGATGGATGTTGAGCATCACCAGGGGCCACCATAGATGACTGCCTAGGTCACACCCTGCTCAAGGGCACTGGGCAGGGCTGGGTGATCAGCTGTGCGTCCCTCCCCTGCCCAGGCACCTGCATGCCCACGTCCACCCGCAGGAGGCGCTCTGTCAGCACACACCCTCAGGAACAGCTGGCCCCAGCCTTAAACCAGGTGCAGGTTGTCATGGTGACTGTCACCTTGCTCCCAGTCCTACATCCCTCAGCCCCCTGGGCTCCCTGGAGGCCCCTACACTACCCCACCACCACCACCAAGCCCTTCCAGTGCAGAACGGCCGCCTATATCGGCAGCCGGCCCTCTCTGGTGGTGCATGATATCCACAAGAAATGCCAGCCGCATTCTTATCTGGGAGGCTCGGGGCCGCCCTGCAGTTCCGATTAGGGAGAAGAGCCGTTTGCTGAGGGTGCAGAGTGGGCCCAGTGGCAGGGCCTGGAGGCAAGCTAGAGCCCAGAACTGCTGTGAGAGGGGCCTTGGCCCCCCACAGATGTGACCAGGGGGCAGGTGCAGAGACTGCAGGCCGCAACATGGCCCAGGAGCAGTGGCTCCTGTCACAGCTGTTGTGGACACAGGAGAAAAGCGTCTCAGGTCGGGGGGGGGGTGTCATCTTGTCCTACCCTGGCCCACACAGCCCCAGCAGAAGAGGTCTATGAGTGGCCTTGTCCTCAGGCCTGAGTACAAGCCCACCTGTCCGGCTCAGAGCATTTCTGCCTGTCCAGATACAGTCTGGACGCCTCTCCTTGACCTCGCTGCCCTGAGTGTGGGGTCAGTGGGAGGGGCCATCCACAGGCTTATCACTGGTGGATCTCAGGACCTAACAGACAGATGGACAAAGTGCCTGGCTGACCCCATGGGGAAGTCTGCCCCCTTTCTCCAACACCCACCTGAGGGCCTGGCGGGGGCCAGAGACACAGGCGTACCCCAGGACAGGCGGGTCTGGGAGCCAGCTTCGTGGCCTCCACAGACCTCCATTTTCTCTGTAGGGGGAATAAACATCATAGGAACAGGTGACTGGGTGTCCCCGTAGGGCCATGTCCTGTCCCTGAGCTGGGCCCCAGCCCTTACTAGCAGCCCTCTCTATGCTAAACCCTGCCGGAAGCAGGGTGGCCAGGGGTCAGAGTGCAGGGCCGGGCCCTAGGCGTCCTGGGTGGGCTGGCAGAGCACGTGGTCCCTTGTGGACAGCCATGAGGCAACCCGGCTTGCTTTCTGTTGCCACCCTCCTGCCCTGGCTCGTCCCCCACTGGGGGCTGACAAAGGGGCAGCTCCTCTCTCTGCCTCAGTCCTGGGTCAGCCTCTGTCCTGGGTCTCTGCCATCTTATCTGCCTGAGAAGACAAAGACCCAGTTAAAACGTTTTAGCAGGCCTCCCAGAGTATTTACATGTTATCTCTGCCATTAGGCGGGTAGTTATCTGATAATCGGCCCATTAAGGCCACAGCCTGCCCAATCGGGGCTCCAGGAAGTGGGGCCGCCACAGTGCTGCAGCCAGGGACAGGCCAGGCCACGTGAGGCCTCCATGGGCCAGGCAGCCCTGGCAGCAGGAGAGGCACGAAGTAGCCCAGCCTTCCCAGCAGAGGGTGTGTGTCCTGAGAGAGACCCCCTGTGAGGGAGGGACTGCATCCTCCCTGCTGTCCCATAGGAGGCTGAGGCCCAAGAAGGGAGGTGGCAGCCAGGCTGAGTGTCCTGGGGGTGCCTGGCAGGTGAGCACCCACATCCGAGTGCAGCTTCTGGGGGCCCTGGGGGCGATACCATTCACACCTCTGGCCCACCTGATAACCCAGGGCAATCTCACCTCACAAGCCTTAACTTAATTACATCTGCACAGACCCTTTTTCCAAACAAGGGCACATTCTTACAGGTGGATGCATTTCTTAGGGGTCGCAAGTCAGCACATGACACAAGGTCATTGGACCCACTCAGCCCCGTAGCCTAAGAAATGACCATGGGCAGGGGTAGCCCCAACCCCAGGGGTGCCTGCCCTCCTCTGCCCTGGGGAACCCCACACCTCACACCTGCTCTGTGTCTCTGCAGATGAGCTGGAGCTGGTGCTGCAGGACGGGCAAAGACACGTGCGGGCCCGACTCAGCCTCGCAGCGGGCCTGTCCTGGGGCCCATTCAGCGGAGACATCCAGACCAGAGCCTCATCCCCTGGGCAGGCAGAACCGGTAAGGAACCCCGACCAGAGCCCCTCCACACACAGGTACAGGGCAGCGTCAACTAGGGCACAGCTCCTTTGTGTGCAACTGTGGGGGACCCAGAGGGCTGGGGCCCAGGGGAGCCTTCGGGACCTCAAGGAGGGCTTCCTAGAGGAGGGCTTCTTTAAGTGGGACCTAGTGGTGTTGGGGACAGTGGAAAGGCCTGTGCTGAGGGAGAGAGCCCAGGGCCATCCCCATGGGTCCTTCTATGAGACCCTGAGCACCAGTGCACATGGTCCTCATGGCCTGTCCACCCACCCTTTGTGACAGGGCCCCTCTCC